CAAAATTTGCGATAATAAAAAAATATAGCGTCTAACCTCAATTCTAATATTAGGGTATTTAATTCAAATTTACTTAACACGTTGATGGACACAACTGCTATAACAGTAATTTTGAATTAATCTACTGGGGCACTACTGCCATAGCAGTAGATAATTTTAGTTATCAAATTGACACATCTGCTATAGCAGTAGCGTTTCCCATAACGATGCATGTTAGTTTACACCTTACTGTCCCGTGGCATACACGTTAAATTTGGGGCACTTTAGACCAAAAAAGGCGTGGCTTTGATGGTATTTGGAATTTAGGTGGGAGGACTGAACGGCGTCATTACGGCCATAGCAGTAGTGCGTGCATTTAATTTGCATGTGTTAGTTGTTTCCTGCCCCCAGACGGAAAAGAGATAAGAAATATTTTTGAATCTTTTTATTAATACTTTTTATATGGAATTTTATAATTTGTACTTAGATATGGATGCAAAGGAGGAGGCAAGACTCCTAAAGTTATTTGCGGAAGCTAGTGACTACAGTGGGGAAAGTACTTCGAGTGCCGATCCTTATGAGGAAAACGACACGGGGAATTTGATGTAAAAATTTTTGAGTTATGCTCGCCCAAGGGCTATTTTCATAACATCGAAATATATTAAGGCAAACAGGAATCGAAAGAAACTTTATTTAAAATGGATTCCCTTATTTTACGACTTATGGAACCCTACCTCAATAAGGAACATGGATAACTACTACAATTCTGTAAGACTGTCTAAAACTCTGTTAGAAAAATATAAAACTCACATGACTGAACGCTTTAACCGGAGAGGAAATCCTAAAGTTCTGACAACAGAAGATCAACAATAAAATTCGACTTCTAGAGTTTCGAGAACAAATTATTAGGCCCCTACTGAAAGTTTCAGATAAAGCGTCAGGCAAACAACTAAAAACACCAACCGCCACACACAATAATCGTGGCAGTCTGAAAGTTCCAACTAATCTAGTACCGTTCAGTCATTTTCCTGAAAAAATTTCAATTCCGTCAGAAAATTATTCTAGAAAAAACTACTTTCTAAATTACTCAAAAACAGGAAAAAGAACCCAAACATCATTTAGATGCAAAGAATGCGAGGAAACCATTGCAACAACCACCGTCACTTAGAAAGTAACTGCTGTCACTAAATAACAATGTAGTAGCCAAAAGGACTCTAACTAGTCATCAACGGGGGTACACTGGAAGTGTAAGGCAGTGACTGTCACCAGTCACAGTCAGGAGATAAGGGCCTTAGAGCTTATCTACTCACACCGTGACAAAAAAAGGAAAAAATAAATAAAATAATAGGTTTAAAAATAAAAGATTTTTCCCCCGTGATGAATAGTGCGAGCGGGTTAAGGAAATGGTTTAGCAAACTGATAATAGGCACCTATAGTCCTTACTCGGGGGTAGGTTCGCCGGGCTTCGCAAAAGTGCCCGAAGTGTCTTTTGACAAAAGGAGAAGGTAGATTTTTACGTTTTGAGGTCCCCTGAATCCGTTTTGACTATTTTCGCGATGATGTCTGTGTGTGTCTGTGTGCCTGTGTGCCTGTGTGTCTGTGTGTGTGTGTCTGTGTGTCGCATAACTCATGAACCGATACACAGAAAAACACCAAATTTTAAACTTAAGCTTTTTTCCAGTGTCCAATGAACTGATTAGATTTTAAGCAGAGTCGAAACATCTGGGGGGGTACTTTATAGGTGGTAATTTTTATATTTTATGGAATATCTCTGTTATTTACGTTTGAGGAAGAAAATTCTTCAAATAAAAGTTACTTTTTATATTATTAAATTGTTCAAATAAAAGTTACTTTTTATATTATTAAATTGTTCAAATAAAAGTTGTTTGTAATATAATTCTCTATAATTTTTATTCTATACATAATTTCTCTAAAATGGACCGTATTCGAGAAATTTGAGAAAATTGTAAATTTTGAAATTTGAAGAAAACTCAAGAACGGATAAAAAATCATTAAATTTTAAACTTAAGTTTTATTTCGGCCTGACGTGAAATGATCGGAACATCAGGGGAGGTACTTTATGGGAGGCCGTTTTTATTTTTATGGAATATATCTGTTATTTATGTTTGGAGAAAAAAATTGTTCAAATAAAAGTTACTTCTAATATTATTATCTATAATTTCTGCTTTTTGTCAAAATTTCCTGAAATGGTCCGTATTCGAGAAATTTGACAAAATTTCCAAATTTCTGATTTTTATGAAATTGCTAAACTAAAAGTTGTTTGCGATATCGATCTCTATAATTTTTGTTTTTACATGATTTTTCTAAAATGGGACCGTAATGAAAAAATTGTGGGAAATTTAAATTTTTCAGTATTTTCGTTTTCAATGAATATCTATAGAAAAATGTTTCGAAGTAGATATATGTGGACAATGCGTATATTTAGTTTATCCTCTAATCATTTATAGAGGTGTTGCAATAGGTTGTACAAAATAACCGGAAAAAGCCTATAATAACTAGATAGGAAAGTCATGTGTTGGACACATCAGATTTTTTAATAAATATTAGTTAATTTACAGATGCGCGAACGCCGATCGAGATATCGCTGCGCGGAGGGACTGGCGTTGGTGATAGGGAAAGAGAATCTACAGTTGAGCGAGACCCGAGATGAAATTAAAATTTTCAGTTCGATATAATATTTGACCGTCACCAGTTCAGAATAATAAGCCGCATTTTCAAATCAATTCACCGCCGATAATTTTTCTTCTTTCTCGTATTTACAAAGCCGTTAGGTAAAAAATCTTGTTTTGTTTTTTTAAGTTTTGTATTGAGACCGTATTTCATTTTAAAAACTGAATTATATTGTAGGAATAGGAACATTTTCATTCAGTGTTTAGTTAAAAGCTTTTAACTTTGATTTCATTAATAAATATTAGAATTTGTTTCTTGGCAACAATAATACCGTTTTTTTATAGATAGTGTTGAGTTAAAAGATTTTAAATTTGATTTTTATTATTAAATATTAGAATTTATTTCTTGGCAAATATATTACCGTGTCTTTAAAGGGAATAGAATTTAATTTAAATAATAAATGATGGGATTTAATTCTGTAATATTGTAAAAACCGGGATTTAGACTTTTGATCGTTAGTCTGTATTAGAAAATTATTTTTTTTCTTTTTGGTAGGTTAAATCAGGAATTAAATTTGATTTGATTGATAAATACTTTTATTTAGTAGTGCCGCTTTGTAATTAAGTTGGGAATATTTATAAACGCAGATTTCGAAGAGACGTTTTCCCTCTTTTAATAGTTTATTCTTTTACCGTATATTTGAATAATCTTAAATAGCATCCTGTAAAACATAACCAAAAATCTGGCGCTTGAGAACCGCCCGTAACCAGCGTCATTCAGGAACCGTTTTCTCTATGGCGAGAAAAACCCCTTACAACTTTTTCTCCAATTTTCCATTGCGGTCCATTTTAGAAAAATCATTTAAAAAACAAAAATTATAGCGATCGATAACGCAAACAACTTTTAGTTTAACTATTTTTTTTAAAAATCAGAATTTTGCACATTTTGTCAAATTTTTTGAATACGGATCATTTTAGGAAAATTTGGTATGAAACAAAAATTATAGATAATAATATTAGAAGTTACTTTTATTAGAACAATTTTCTTCTCCAAACAAAATTAACTAATATATTCCATAAAATATAAAAACGACCCTCTATAAAGTCCCACCCCAGATATTTTTCTTTATGCGTTTTTGAGTTTTCTTTAAAATTTCAAATTTTCACTTTTTCTTAAATATCTCGAATACGGTCAATTTTAGAGAAATTATGTATGAAACAAAAATTATATAAAAATATATTACAAATAACTTTTATTTAAACACACACACACACACACACACACACACACACACACACACACACACACACACACACACACACACACACACACTCACACACACACACACACACACACACACACACACACACACACACACACACACACACACACACACACACACACACCACACACACCACACACACCACACCACACACACACACACACACACACACACACACACACACACACACACACACACACAGACACACACACACACACACACACACACACACACACACACACACACACACACACACACACACACACACACACACACACACACACACACACACACACACACACACACACACACACACACACACACACACACACACACACACACACACACACACACACACACACACACACACACACACACACACACACACACACACACACACACACACACACACACACACACATACACGTACTCGTATTAACTGTGGCGGACCGACCTCCAGACCAAATTGTGACTCTCTTCGATATTTTAGCAGATTTGGATAAAGCTGAAAATTAGGTAAAGGTAGGTATCTTCAGTTTTCATTTACACTTCAATATAAGTAAATTATTAGCAAATCTTTTAAGCCGCCACAGTTAATGCAGTAACGGAAAACTTACACTCCGTGTGTCACAATTAGGGAGGACATTACACAGTGCGTCATAGTTAACGTAAAATGCACCGTAATTACACAATACGCCACAGTTAATGCAATATATGAATGCGTCATAATTACGGTTAAAATATTGTAGAGTAGTTCTTTAAAAGTGAGGAACTCTTAAAATTTGGTATCTACGTACTACTTGAAAAATAATTATATTAACACGCTTTTTGGCGTTTATCAACATTTCCATTGGGAGCTGAATATGATGTTTGGCTACTATCGACTAAATATATCTTTGATAGAGTTAATCTACAGTAAGTTGTATTAAATGGAATTTATATACAGGGTGTCCCACCGTATACGAGACGGTCCATAACTCAATAACGGTCCATTTAATTTAGCCAGTACCACAGTTGCTAAACGATTCCAGTTTGGATAAGTGCAATTTAAATTTAAAACATTATTATATTTTTGATTTTCATCGTTTAAGTAATTATTGAGAGTTACCAAATCTTCTGTTAAAGGCAGTAGTTCAACTGTGTTCATTTTTCTTGTTTCAAATGTTGCGAGTGCATTAGCAGATATTTTAATTGACCATTCCATGTCCATAATTTCTAAAAATCTATTTAATTTATCATAATTTTGTATATCTCCTTTTCGAAGTGACATTCCTTTTAAAATATTAACACATTTTTTAATTGAATATCCTAATTTTAGGGCCAAAGACGGTACGTTATAAATTGGACGAGCCGAAGTGTCCTCTTGAAAGAGTACAATGCAAAATACTTAAATTTTTCTCTATTCTATTCTAGGCAAAAAATCTTACATTTTAAGCAAATGAAAGTTATAAATTCAGAAAAGGGTTTGTCGAAAAGTATTGATGTAGTAAAAATTTGGAATAATAGAGAAGTAATAAACCTCAATTTGCAACAAAAGACTTTAAAAAATTTTCAAGATTTTGCTGTAGAATTAAAAAATATGTTGACCAGATGTTCTAGAAAAGTTCTGGATGACTCATACAAAAAGGGTTAACATTGCAGTTAATTAATGGTCCATAAAATCATAAAAACTGATTTACCCTCTTAAATTTGTAACAAACTTATATTCAGAAGGACACTTCTTGATACAAACATGAGGGATACTATGACATTGTCGGTACCCTCGATATCGTAAAGCTTTATTTTCAATGGAGTGAAATTGTACAATACTCTTTCCTTGAATAACAAAAAAATTATAAGTAGACAGCTGTTTAAAAATAGAAATATGCAGCAAGTTATTTTAAAACACCAGTGATAACTAAGGCTGTTTTAGATTTTTAAATATTTATTATTTTATATATTTTTTTATATTTATGTATAATGTCTTTCATATTTTAACTTACACTTTGTTTACTATTGTTTATTTTTTTATTATTATTATTATTATTATTATTTTTTTTTTTTTTTTAATTTGGTGTCATCGGCGTCGACTACTACGGCCATTAGCCTCGTGTTCTGTGTAGGCTTTGTTACTGTTTCCCAGCGCCACTTTAGGAACAGCACTGTTAATTAGAACCCAACAGTGAATGGTCGAGTGGGGAATCCTACCAAGGCATCAGAATTAATTTTAAATAATTAAATTAAATGAAAAAATCCCGGCCAACGGTGGGATTCGAACCTGAGACCTCCGATCTCAAAGTCATGACTCTAACCATTGAGCCAACCCACCCCCCTTATTATTATTATTATTATTATTATTATTATTATTATTATTATTATTATTATTATTATTATTATTATTATTATTATTATTATTATTATTATTATTATTATTATTATTATTATTATTATTATTATTATTATTATTATTATTATTATTATTATTATTATTATTATTATTATTATTATTATTATTATTATTATTATTATTATTATTATTATTATTATTATTATTATTATTATTATTATTATTATTATTATTATTATTATTATTATTATTATTATTATTATTATTATTATTATTATTATTATTATTATTATTATTATTATTATTATTATTATTATTATTATTATTATTATTATTATTATTATTATTATTATTATTATTATTATTATTATTATTATTATTATTATTATTATTATTATTATTATTATTATTATTATTATTATTATTATTATTATTATTATTATTATTATTATTATTATTATTATTATTATTATTATTATTATTATTATTATTATTATTATTATTATTATTATTATTATTATTATTATTATTATTATTATTATTATTATTATTATTATTATTATTATTATTATTATTATTATTATTATTATTATTATTATTATTATTATTATTATTATTATTATTATTATTATTATTATTATTATTATTATTATTATTATTATTATTATTATTATTATTATTATTATTATTATTATTATTATTATTATTATTATTATTATTATTATTATTATTATTATTATTATTATTATTATTATTATTATTATTATTATTATTATTATTATTATTATTATTATTATTATTATTATTATTATTATTATTATTATTATTATTATTATTATTATTATTATTATTATTATTATTATTATATTATTATTATTATTATTATTATTATTATTATTATTATTATTATTATTATTATTATTATTATTATTATTATTATTATTATTATTATTATTATTATTATTATTATTATTATTATTATTATTATTATTATTATTATTATTATTATTATTATTATTTTTATTATTATTATTATTATTATTCTTTTTTTTTTTATGACACATGTGGTAGTATTATTCCCCATTTCGCCGGATTTCTCAAAGCTAATGAGGTGTCACTTGGACAGGGTTCGGCAGATGATCGCCGTTGTACCTAATATGACCGCCTTTTGCATCTAACAAATTGAACTCTCATGCAAACCCAATTTGTTGAGGTGAGTAGGGAGCTTTTTGTGGACTATAACCATTTGCAGATATGAACATGGGTTTAAATCAACTCTTTGCGTTTCCATAGGTCTTTTATTTCTGCAGGTCTTGATATTTTGAGAACTTTTCCTTGGAGGCTTTTCCGATATTATCATCCAGGGGCACTGAGAAATCGATGATCGAACAAGTTTGCTTCTCCTTGTTGATTACAATGATATCCGGTCTATTATGTTGAACTGGTCTATCTGTTATAATAGGTTGATCCCAATATATTTTTCACAAGTTATTTTCAAGGATAGGTGAAGGTTCATACTTATAGTAAGGCAACTGCTGTTGTAAAATACCTGTCTGTTGCGATAAAAGCTGGTGAATCATTTTAATTAATTGTAATTTGATTGGACAATACAACACACCCAGAGACTTGCCCGGGAATCGAACCCGGGACCTACGGTGTGAGAGGCGATGACGCACCAATATATTTGTCAATTCGACGAAAATAAATATAATTGCATATCTATGATTGCCAAGGTTGAACCCGCGCTGGTTTGGCCTGTATTAAAAGATAGGCCAGACAATCGTGCATAGCAAGGTTATATTCACGGATAGTTTCGTTTCACTATTATACCATATGCTAAATACTGACTCTTTACATATAATTTTTCAATATCTGACGGTTATTAGTAATTTTTTGCACTCATGAAATTGATAACTTTGGCGCGTCAGACTGGAAAATAGCCACACAGTTTTGGTCAGACAATATGAAAAGTTGTTTTTGCATTTTCTAAAGAAAAGATTTTGAGAAAATCAGCTGGTTATTAATAAATTTTTCTATAGTGGTTTTTTCGACATATTCGAGGTGGCAAACATCTGGAATGACCCACGTTTTTTGTCAGGGAATTTTATTTTCGCGGTTTATTTAAAATGTTTAAGTTATTATATTAAAAAAACAGTATCTATAAATTTTTCACATGTCGGCCAAACGACTATCTACTCACTTACGACTGAATTCTCGAAAAGTCACTCGGACAGGTCGATTTTCATATCTTATTTTCAGCATTATACAAAAAAAAATTTTTTACAGGATGATCCGTATTTGTGTAGTGACGTCATTCATATTTTTTTTAAATGGGATACCCTGTATATTTTTACATTTTAATAATCTCCTTGAAAAGCTGATTTCAGTATTACACTTCTTGATGTCTAAAAGATCTGTAACCACTTGAAAATTTGATTTTTTCTGGTAGCAAAACAGATGAAAATCGAGAAAAAGGGCTTACATGTCCCTATCATAACTTTTTGAGATGTACCCACCTATATACAATGGCATAAAAAATATTTGACAGGATTATCAAAGATTACGTCAATAGTTTTGATCACCCTGTATCAAATATTTTTCATGCCATTGTATACATCTCAAAAAGTTAGGACAAGGACATGCAAGCGCTTTTTCTCGATTTTCATTGGTTTTGCTACCATAGCCGCCTAAATACACAAAAATCAAATTTTTAAATAATTATAAATTCAAAAACATATGAATGACGTCACTACACAAATATGCATAATTCTGTATAAAAAAAATTCTTGTATAATGCTGCAAATAAGAAATAAAAATCGACCTGTCCGAAGGACTTTTCGAAAAATATCAAATATTTCTCGTCTGGTGTACCTCATCCGTGGACACACTGTAGATTAGAACAACTAGATAAATTAAGATTTGTCAAAAATCTAATGGAAAAAAAACATTCAATAACAAATAATAATATATTACCAGAGGTCCTACATATCTGTAAGAAAAAACTAGAACTTGACTTTCTAGAAGAACGAGAAATTAAGAAGTATTCTGTTATCCTCAGTAGACGCTGTTAAATGAACAAGTAAATCTTGGAACCTCTTTACTTTTGAACCGTCTTCTAATCTAGAAATTTGTATTGTGAACTTTGTTTTAAACTAAAATAGTTTAACTTAAAGTGGTTCAAAACAGATGGTACCAACATTTCAAAAATAAAGGGCCTCTATTCCTATTTTCTATGGTTACATCAATTTTTTTATGATCTGACATTGTCAATTGAGAATAATTTCTTGTCTCCTGAAGTTGCAAATTTATATTTATAGATAAGTATTATTTTAAATATAGTGGAATTTTTGAATTTTATTTTATTTAAAATCTTATTTGGTGTCTCTCTTGTATAAATTTTGTGCTTCTACGTTAAGCCGTTTCGGCTGTGAGTTGCTCGTACAAGTCATTATAACTGAATAATTTCACAAAATCGTTTCACACATATTTTCACACACTTAGAATGCCACAGTTAATTGAAAACAGTTTGAAAACACAAGACGTCACTGCTAATGTAATACCTAAACAAATAACATTCACACCAGAGGGCGCTTTTATCAGTGTTTTTGTTTAACGCCACAGTTAATGTAGAATAAGAAAAAATACACAACCTGATTTGAACATACACTGTGGCGCATTTTTTCAAAAGTAGTTAAAATAGGTACGGTTCGATTCGTCATAAGACAAGCAGACCGAAAATGCAATAAAAAAATTATGGCGGCCTGCAAAATGCGTCACAATTTGAGTATACCGCCACAATTGAGTCCTATTCTCACACAGTGCGCCACAGTTAATGTAATACATACACACACACACACACACACACAACACACACCACACACACACACACACACACACACACACACACACACACACACACACACACACACACACACACACACACA